CCCTCGTACCATCACAATCCTTGCTGAGTCTTTGTTCTGGAAAGCCCAGCAGGCTTTTCCCATAGGGCCCAGCTGCAACAATTACCCAAGTTTCTGCTTCAGAGAAGCATAATATTAAAAAGTGTAACTAACTGACAAAAGACACTCTGCTGCCACTTGGTGTCTGAAATTTTCCAGCACCTTAAAACAAAGTCTTTACTATGCACGGGTATCACTTGCCGAGCAGCACGCGCGGACACGGTGCCTACGAGCTGCCTCTGAAAAAAAACTGCAACGGCACAAAGCTCCCCCTCCTGCTGCCAGACACAGGCAGTCACAGCATGGGTAAGAGAAGAAGCAAAAGCTGCCCCAGAGAGCCTCAGAACCACTCCTCTTAACCACAGACCTTCCCCGTGTCCTCCTGCTTTGCCAGGTTTCCCATCCTCTGCACCCAGAACTGGAATCTGCTTGAGGAAACTCAAATTTTGTCTGTTCTGGAGCCATTCAAAAGCTTCCCCAGTTGTTACCAGCTTGAGCTGACGGGCGAAGCTCCTCTCTGTCGGGTGACAGAAGCAGGTGTGATTTTGCCAGGACAAAATACAACCGGAAGACACACGAGGCTCCAGCATCAGGGTGAGATCTTGGTCTTTACACCAGCGCTGTGCTGCAGAAACAGCCCACTGAGGTTATGCTCTGGGGCAATTCACATATTTGCTTTCCGTTCACTAAATCCTCATTAGCAACCTAGACAAAACATAGCCTCCTGTACCATGTTGAGTGGTTTATTCAGACTAAATAAAGGTTTTGGAAAACTGATTTTAGTAAGAAAAATCAGCTGAGGAAAAAAAAAAAAGGAATACAGTGGCATTCACATCCCTAAATTTAATCAAAAAATTATCTGGCTCCCATTTTATTGTGAAATTTCCTCCTATGATCTGGGTTCCAATACCTAGTTACATTCCTCGTAAAGCCAGAGACCTGCCCACCTTACTCTGGCAAATCCTCGGCCCCTCGAGGGTTTCTCAGACCTGACCTCTCGCAAAGCTCACAGCCGCTGCTGCAACATTATCGATAGCTCGTGTAGCATAAAACCAAAATTAAAAACAGTTCAGAGACAACTTCTGGCTAAAAGGAAAATGACACACGGACGGGTGAGACCCAGGAACTGTATGGGCAGATGCTGTCACCGCAAGGACTCGCTGCTCTCCGCACGCTCAGCAGCTTCAGCCCCTGGAGACCAGCAGTGACCAAGCGAGCCCCAGCACCAAGGCCAGTCCCTTCCCACGGCGCCCACAGCACCGCGTGCTCCCGAGGCCCACGGAGAGCAAGGCCCCTCTCACAGAGCAGAGCTTTCTCAGACTTGTTTATCTCAGTTTACTGTTTTAAGCTTCTTGCTTGGTAGTTCCTGGTGGTTCTTGGCTTCTTTCCGTTTCTGGCAAGGTGCTTCCTTGTTCTCACCACCAGTCAGTTTGTCCAAGAACAGAGCGGTCTCCTTCAGGAGCCGCAGCTCCCGTTTTTCCTTCCGCTCCTCCATTTCTACGATGTCATCCGCGAACAAAGCCTTCAGAGGCGGGATCAGCTTTGGGATGGTCGAGAAGTCACCAAAACGGACCTGAAATACATCAAAAGCACCTGCATGAGAACGGCTGCTTGTTTTCTTTCCTCCCCTCCGTCCTTTCCCCTGCTTGAGTCACAGGGCACTGCCTCTCGCCCGGTGTGGAGCAGCCCCATCCTCCTGGATCATTTTCAGCTGCGCCGATGCCAGCGGGCAGCTCACCATTTCCAGCCCTACAGCAGTCAGGCTGCAGATCCCGTATGCCAAAGCTATTAAGACTTTTTGTTACATGAAGTGACGTGGACACGGCCCAGTTTCGATTGATCAGTGAGCTGCTCTCACTTCTACGATCACATTCGATCCAAGGATGACCGCTTTTGGATCCTGGACTTCTTTTGCAGAAAGCCGTTAAAGCAGCACTCCAGTTGAGAAGAGAGTGGGAACAGAAGGAAAACTGGGTTTTCAGCTGGGAGTAGCGTGCACAGAACAGGGGTGACACAGAGCAAGTACCCAGTACGTTAAAAGCGGACTTCTGTTCTCAGGAGCCATCAGAACCTGTCTCAAAGGTTGCTTCAAAGGAGGCTGCTCTTCAGGAGGAGATGGTGTATGGATACTCACCCCCTATTCTGCCCTGGTGAGACCACACCTGGAATACTGTGTCCAGTTTTGGGCTCCCCAATTCAAGAGAGACAGGGATACAGGCTGCCCAGAGAGGTTGTGGAGTCTCCTTCTCCGGTGACTTTCAAATCCCACCTGGATGCATTCCCATGTGACCTGCCCTAGGGGGTCCTGCCTTGCAGGGGGGTTGGACTGGATGATCTCTAGAGGTCCCTTCCAACCCCCAACATTCTATGATTCTATGATAGATTACAAACGGAGAGTTTAATTCATGAGCAGGCATCCCAAAGGAACGCTGAAACCCTTCCCATAGCCTGGCTCAAAGCTCCCAACTTACCCTCATATGATCAAACGCAATTCCAACCTTCTCACTGAAGTCTTCGCTGAACAGTGGGATCTTGGCATACCTCTGGCTGAAGTGGTTGAGCATGATGAACTCCGCGTTCATCTTCATCCCTGTCTGAATCGCCTGGGAGGTTGTGCTGCCAAAGGAACAGCACACCACAGTCACACACAGCCTGGCTCGTGCTGCTCCTCCAACATTTGATATTTGCATTTGACATTGCATCACGCCACCAGCCAACACCAGGTACCACCCAACGCCTGCGGAGCCTGAGCACGGTGTGTCCCAGCTCTTCACAGGCACACCCAGGCACCCCTTCCTTGAGTGATCTGTGCTGCTGGCAAGTCTCTGACTTCCAAGTGCCTCAGTGCGGGAAAGCAGCTCTAAATTCTGAGAGCTCTGTATTTAAGAGCTCCGCAAGCTGGGGACAGGGTGTCATTCAAATGCCTGTCCCAGGGGTGCCAGCAAGTCCAGCTCTCTTACACTGTAACTCATATATAGTTCTGAGAAGCTGCTCTCCAGTCTCCTCAGCTTTTCTTGAGGCCAGCGCCCAGTTTGAATTGCGGGGTTACCTGCAGAGATAACTTTTCCAGCTCTTAAGCTTAGTCCTGATATGTAAGCAAGCAGAGGGCCTTTCCTTTGGGCTAGTCTAGCTGTAAAGTTACTACAGTCTACTTGAAAGCTTTCATCATTTCTCTTTGGGGATATTTAGAGGAGCTGTGAGGGGATTACAGAGCTGGTGCAATGAGCAACACATCAGTTTTAGGCTGAAGCACTCCTGTGTACACCAGAACCACCCACAGGACTTGGGGCCTTCAAGAGCACCTCCAGGGACAAAACCCAACTCGCATCTTTGCCTTCCTGACAGTGAGAGACAGCAGAACACATCCCACCTGTGCGTCTTCTCTATAGCTTCCTTCTCCATGCCATCTTCCAGTGTTGCTTCATGGATCAGCAGGGTAGCATTTTTACCTGTGTAAAACAATCATATGTTCAGTTTTCAGTTGAATACACAGTAGTTCAACTGCCTATACGAGCTCTCAATCCCCCCTGCCCCTTAACGCCTCGTGCTTCAGGTACAGCACCAAGGGTTTGGGGGTGCCCACTTTGGATACTACAGTTTGAGCCTTTCTCCAAGAGATTCTTCAAGCAGAGGGTTTTTGTCACCTACCCATTTGTACTAAGGCCATGCAGGGCATTGTGTCACCAGAATAGACTACTTTCCAGCCGGATTTGTGGACCATTGAACATGCAAAAGCATTTTTACAGTGCTGGACTTCACAAGTCTGAAACTGAACAAGGATACAAGTGTTAGACCTCCGGTCCCCTTCTTGCCCATCGCAGCAACTGACCCTGCCAGCTCAGGAGCTTACCTCAGCCAAGTCGTAGTTCTCTAACAGAGAACTGACAAACCATTTGGCTTTAGGTTTGGTGTTCTCACAGCCTTTCACAAGAGACTGGGAAGTAATCATTCTGTGAGGGAGGCGAGAAGAGAGAACTAAGGACAGGTACAAAGTAAAACCCGGTCTTATCTTTCAGCAGCCCATTTCTCCTTCTAAGTCTATTGCCTTAGAGACAAGGTGCTTTTAAGCACCTATCCCGTGCTTTCACTAACAAGTGCCTCAGTAACTCATCTAACCATTTCTTCCCCCATGCCAAATGCTCTCTTCTCCAGGAATCTTGACCCACTTGCCCAATTCCCCTTTCCCAAGGAGAAGGAAAGCCAGCACATAAGCCTTCATCAAGTAGCATAACTGAGTAAGAAACGCTATCCTTTCTTTTGCAAACTGCACATCCTAGTTCTAATCACAGTGGGAAGAGTCAGAGTCACCTTCAACAAAGGGGTGGGGGGAATGGATTGCCTTGAGCAAGGACCCACACCAAGGACACTTCTCCATATACCACACAGAACACTCACTTGATGTCTCCGAGAATCTCTTCACAGTGGTTGTGGTACTCGTGTAACCAAGGCATGATCTGTTCAGGTGCTACCAGAAACAGAGGGCTGAAAGGCTGACCAAGGGCTGCCTGGAAAAGCAACGGCAGAGGGGTTAACGAAAATAAAATCAGTAGTAAGCGTACACCAAACGAGAGAGAAGAAATACCCAGGGAAGAAATGGTGCTTTCCTACTACTCAGAAGTTCCCCTCCCGCCAAGGCAAGTTCAGGAGCAGTGACACAAGAGCACTACTTACAAAAGCTCTCCGCCTCTCCATCAGGATGTTTAACAAGCCCTGCAAAGGGAATGAACAAAACAGCAAGCTGTAGGCAGGAATATCTGGGGCCTGAGTGGCAACAGTGCTACCACGGCTCAGCAAGCTGCACTTTTTGGAAAGCCTATAGTCAGAAATGCATGATTACTGCTTTTTGTATAACCCCAACTTGCTGCGCTGCTGTAACACCATCACTGCTTGTGCCTCTGGCTGGTGGCCAGCAGCTCAAAACACAGCCCCTCAGTCCTTCACAGTGCTGGTCCCAGAAGAAGGATGGAGAGCAGGAAGTCTCTACCCAACATCTCAGACCCCGCATGGTTTCTAGACACAAGACAGCAGACCAGCAAACAGCCAGCCTTGATCGGGCCCAACCTAAGAGAGACCAAATGGTCCTTCTGTGACTGTTTATTGTAAAGCATTGAAGGGAGCGGGGTTGGACACCACTAACAAAATTACAGCTCTGGACGATGCTGGCAAGTCTGCAGGGACCTCTAACAGGAAGGAAAAGGGGATCAGAAACACAGACAGATTCCCCAGTAGTGCCTTGGGAATGCAGAGAGGAACTGCAGCCCTAACAGCAGGGCAGCCTACAGTCGTCATCTGCAGCTGCATCTGAATCCCGAACAGCGGAGCATGCCGGCACAGGCCCCTTCTCCTTCCATCGACCTACCGAATGATGGTCGGTGTGCATGTGAGACACAAAAACAGCTACTATGTTACACAGCACTTGGTCAACTTGCTCTCCATAGTGCCGACAGAGCTGTCCAAACGTTCCTTCTCCACAGTCCAAGAGCAGGGATCGGGTAGAGCTAACAAGACAAGTGACAAAGACATTTAACAGCCACTGTACGAGCTCTGACGTACACCTCTGTTCAGGGAGGGTGATATTTTAGATTAGAGGGCCAAGAGCTCCTGGTGCTCTACACCTCTAAATGCTACTCGAGTCCTATTAGCTAATAGCTTTAGAAAAACTGTTCTGTCTGTACAGCTCACTCTGGTCTTGTGTTCATGCTGAGCACATCCTTGGGCAGATGGTAAAATGCCTGAAGCCATTAAATGTTTGGCTTTAGAGGTGGCTCTCAAGTCTTCCCCACCTACAGAGAGCAGTGCCTGAAACTGAAGTCCTATAGACTCCGCAACAGGAGCGCCTTCCATGCGTCGTCAACACACTGGACAGAACAGCCCTTGGGCACCATCCTCTTGAGGCACTGAGCCTCTCCAAGCAGAGTGCATGGCCCTGGGATTTACCTGGTATTTACCAGCGTGGAACTGACATTTCGGATTTTCATCGGAATTGCAGATCCTGTTCCCAAGAACACAATTTCAGGATAAGCACTTACATTTCCTGGAGAAAACACACAACAAGGATTTGTAAGTAAGTATTACCTGCATACTGCCCAGTCAGACACCATTTAGTTCAACCATCTGGTAACTCCAGAGCCACGTGTCCAGCACGTTCCTTTTTGTCTCCCTCATCCTTCAGCAGCCAAGTTGGCAAGGCAAGACAGAAGACAGAACAAGCATCACCAAGGAAACACCTCACAGTGCAAAACTGCATATCCACAGCTGGGCAAACAGGAACTCTGCTCACTGTCTGTGACAGAGCTGGCAGCTCAAGAGAGACCTGAGCCCTGTTCTACGGTGCCCTGACTCTCTCTGGAATCAGGATCCAGACAGTGAGCAAGCGGTGCTGTGTCACACTATGAAAGCCTCACTGCCAACAGGACAACTGAGATCCAGAGGAGAGTGCCCCACAGGGAGCAGTTTCTACAGCAAGACTTCTCCCAGACATAGGGACTCATCTAAGGCTGCTACAACAGCATTCAACATGAGCAAAGCTCTGGGCAGCTCGGAGAAATAACACACAGGTACTTTGTCTCTAATTTCCCTCAAGAGCGCTCAATCCCCAAACCGAGCAGCTTTAGAAAACCAGAAGCACAAGGCTGTGTAAATCCAACCGAAATGAGGTAACTCAGGTTGCGCTAAGCCTGTCCCCTGCACAGCTCCAGGAGGAGTTCAGTGCGCCTCTCAGAGGGCAGAAAAACTGAAATAGAGCTCTGTCTGGGCTCCAGAGCAGTACGTCACCGAGACCTCCTACTTCCCATTACACCAAACCAAGCTGCTGATCCTTACCTGGCAGAACAGACAGGCTTTCTTTGCACTCCTTCACACGCGTCTGGAAGTCAGGGAGCTCCAAGGCTTCACTAACAAAAGCGTCATGATCGCAAACAGTCACAGCATCTCTGAAAGAACAGGCCATAGATGAGGATGGGGCAGGGCAGAAGTGACAAAAATGCTCTTCCCAGAGCAAAGTGCCAAGGCAGCCTTACAACAAAGGGTCAGATGCTCCTCCAAGTTCTATTTTGAGGGGTGGGGAAGATATATCCCACGACTGTGGTGTGCATCAAAAAGGTCTGGCTGGGCTGAGCCACGTCACAGAAATAATCATTCCACCACACTGGAGAAGCTCCTGGAATCATGCTGTGTTCCCCTGTGCTGTCTGAAGCCTGAGAGCTTCCAGACACTAGAGGGAGCACAGAGACTCCTGAAAGAGGATCAATCACCCAAAAAGGCTCCAGGCACCACTCAAAATCAGAAAGGAGCCAGTTTGGGTCCTGCATCAGAGCATGTGCATTACTGCAGGCCTTCAGACACCTTAAGCAGAGCAACTGAAACTCTTCTTGGCACCAAGGTCCTCCTATTCCACCAAACAGAGCCTGAAATTTGAGCCATCGCAGCTGGCATGCCCTTGCAGCATGTGGTCCCCTGCCCTTATCCTCTTCGAGCAGCTTCGCTTTCTTCCCCATAAAACTAGCAACAGCAGAAAAGCCCGCAACTGTTTAACCACCTGAGCCCTTCAGCTCTGATACCATTTGAAGAGCCAGAAAGCCTGATAAGCCTTTCACCAGGCTCCCCAAAAGGTCTCTCTGCTACAGACACTGCTGGGGGCACAGCACAGGAAGTCGAAACAAAGGACAGTGGTTCACTCAGCTATGTCATGTTGTGCACCTTGTCTGAGATTTCTGGGGACAGGGACAGCCCTCATAAGACACAGCTAATGGCTCGGCAGTACCCTAGCAGCATTGCCAGGAAGGATCTAGAAAGCATGCTGACACGTTGTCCTTGCTCAGCGCAGGCTCACGCTGAAAAGCTGCTTCAAATCAACTCCCCAGAACTGGTAAACTGAAGATTCCCACTGACCTCTGCCACTCCTGCTGTGGCCTGAAGTGGTATTTCAAGAGGCACTCTCCTCGCACGATGGGCACACTACACACAGCCTCCTCCTCCTGCAGGGAGAGCGACAGTAAACACGTTCTTCACTCGGGACCATGAGGTACACGCAAGCAAGCAGGGCCTGACCTACCTTGCTGTGGTAGGTGGTGAGTAGAGGGAAGATCTCGGGGTGGATGAGGTTCAGCTGAGTTTGGATCTTGTAGCTGCGTGGGTTGTGCACTGCAGATGAGTTTTCATTGAGCACTAAGTGCTGAGTTCGAGGGCCAAACCTGTAAGAGGACAATAAAACCACAACAGCTTCAGCCCCACGTTAGAGTCAGGCACACGTGCACGCCTGAGCCATTAGCTCAATGGAGCCAGCAGAGCCTGGCTGCAAGCAAACAGGTATTTCTGCTCTGAGAAAAACATCTGCACAGTAAGATCAAGCTGCTGCCCAACAGCAACATGAAACCATGTAATGAGAAAGGATTACCTACCTTTCCAGCCACTGCTGGTAGCGGCTGTCTCTAAGCACTGACTCTGGAGTCATGTGAATAACCAAGGCCACCTGGTTCTCAGGGAGTCCTTCCTGGTACCTGGGGCACATTCAAACACAAAGAACAAACACTTGCGCTTTGGTCCTCCATCATCTTGGCATCCCCGCCCCTCTCCCATCTTAGTGCCAGCAGCTTTGCCCCCCACTGAAGCAAGCAGAGTACAGATGTTAAGAGCACAGCCCAGCAGCTCCAGGCTCCACACTGCAGTGAGCGCAAGGCTCCATGAACAAGGATCCCCCTATCCAGGGCGATGGACTTCCTCTCCTCCAAGAACATCTGTAGAGCCCTTCAGAAGCCTAACACACTTCTTCCCTATAGAGATGTTACGTGCAGCCCAGGCTTCCACCACACAGGGAAGCAGCAGTCTCTGCTCCCCAGCAAGCCTCCAGTGCATGTTTCCTTCTCTGGAGGCCCCTGAGGGAAGGAAAGCCAGGGACACTTATTGAACCACACGTGTCCTGCCTTTGCTAAAGCCTCAAAATGCACCACAGGTCCTTTCATGCATCTCTAGTTCCTTAACAGTGCCCAAGGGATCAGACTTCAGCCTCAAGAACCACAGAACACGAACTTCTCTTTGGCAAAGCTCAGCACAGACGCCTTTCCCCAAACACTCCAGGTGACCCAGGCTTGCTACCTTCGGAAGGTCTCGTTTTCACAGACAGCATCCACAAAGCCCTCATGAGGACACTCCAGCACGATGAACACTGGGCCGGGATCTGTAGGCGTGCACAGTTCTTCAGGGAAGAGCTGCAGGCAGATACACAAAGATGACACCACAACTAAGCTATAAAGGTCTTCTCGCATCTTTAGGTCCGATTTTGGCATCTGGTCTATCAGCCAGCTCCCAGCAGGCAGCTCCAAGCAGGCTCTCTCAATGCTCAAACCAGTCACTGCAGCTCTTGTTCCCTTTCTCTCTCATTACTTACACAAGTCTGCATTTCACTTTGTAACAACAAATCCCAACCCTGATCTCAGAGCAAATCACAATCCAATGTAAGGAAGGCAATTCTAGCAGCTTCTAGGCTCCCACAGGTGGTAGCAAAAGTATACTTAAGGAAAAAAAGAAAAAAAAAGCTTTGTAAAATTCTTATGACACAAAGATATGCCAATCCTATCTCCCAGGTCGGGAGCGTCACTTGCAGATCATCCAGAACGTGGCCAGAACTGGCTCTGCCCCTCAACTCAGACTAGTGTTTGAGTGATTCCAATCCTGTATGCAGGAACCACTGAGCTTCTTTTGGTCTAAGATGTGCAAACAGAGGAAGGAGGGAGTGGTAGTTACACAGGGAGTCAAACCCCAGACTTAAAACACACAGGGATAAACTCCACAAGTTCACTCCTAGACCTATATCAGCTTTGGGGAACAGAGATGAAGCAGCTCTGGCTGCAGACATACAGCCATACCCACAAACTAATCGATTTCAGCATACTTCCCTAATCACACCTTTCCAATGGCCCCACACTTGCCCTGCATGGGAGGCACATCCAGCAACAACCTGGGGCTGGAACACTAACTGGTCACTAACCAAAAGCACCCACTTGAAGCTCAAGGCCAGCAAAACTCATGCCAATCTCTTAGTAGAGATGAGATGGAACAGGTAAACAACTACCATCCACCTGTGCCTTAAGAATGGGTCTCAGGAAAGACCAATAAACACAGCTCAGTCCCTAGCGGTAGGCAAAATATTGCACACAAAGGGATTGCTACCCTGGGAGCCCAGGAAAGGAGGGAGGATGGCAAAGCCACAGCAGAAAGCACACATACATCTTACCTCTCTGCCTTCAAAAGTGATGCTCTCCCCATTCTTAAGAGCTGTAATTATGGGAAGAATGGCTGGAGTTCCCCTGAAAACAAGGCCACAGAAATATTCAGCCTGCCAATATCGACATTCCCGGTGTTGCCCCACCACCCAGGCTGGGATATTGTACTCACACTGGCAGACCCATCTCCTGCGCTTTAGCTGCTAGGAATTTTCCCTTCTTTGGGTGAACCTGAAAAGAGTTAAATAAGACAGAATTACCAGTCAAATAAAGATGTCCAGGAAACTAGATCCATAAACTTCCATTTTAAGTTTTCCCCACAGGTCAAGTAAACTCTTTTTTTTCATCTCAGTTCCACAGTCCGTAGTATAATTTACCCTCAAAAAGCTTTTACGAGGCTTTCAGGTTTCCAAGATCACACTGCTGCTTTTTGCTTCCTTCTTTGACCAAGCAAGCAGGACAGAATTCCTGACTGTAAGCATTAAGAATGGAAGCTGCGTCCTTGTAACTGGCTGATCTATAAAGAACACTTCTAAAAAAAAAAACCATACCTAATTTTTACACATTCTCACTCATGTCAAAATTACTCTGACCTCTAAAAAGTAGAATCAGAAAATAGCTTTTACGTTGTCTCCAATTAAATCTATTTAGCGAGATGAAATGTCCCAGTGACGTCAGGAAGCATTTCTTTACAGAGAGAGTGGTCAAACCCCAGAACTGGCTTCCTAGAGAGGTGGTTGATGTCCCAAGTCAGTGTTTAGGAGATAACACCCTTAATAACACACTTGAACTTTTGGTCAGCCCCGAAGCAGTCAGGCAGCAGGACGAGATGATCATTGTAGGTCCCTCCCAGCTGAAAAGCTCTACTCCATTCTGTATTGATTCAGAGACCTTTGTGCCCAAGCTTACCTTACAAAGGAAAGCCATCACCAGCTCGGAACGCCTGCTTGCACCTTTCTGTTCATCACCTGTAAAAGAGAGCAAAACTACTCAGAATCATCGCTGACCATTTTTCTTAGAACCAAAACATGTCAATGTTTGCTAAAGCATTCAGCCAGCTTGGAGCCCAGCAGCAAAATGTTACAAGCACCTAAGGCCAAAGAGCCCACAGTTTTAGCTAAAATAAACCAAAATAAAGCTCAAAATTGAAAAATAATCAGCTCCAACATCCACTTGGAATTAAATCACAAAGGCTGAAGCACCCATTCCAGCCAGGGACAAACTACTGCAAGGAATAATCACACCCCAAGCAGCAACAACATCCAATTTCTAGGCCTTATTAGTTCTGTGTCATCTTCCAAAGTACCAGAACTCTTTCTGCTCCATTTAACACTTCAGCTGAGCTTCTCTAAAGACCTCACTTCCACAGAGCAAACAGTTCAGAGAACTTATCCCTCATTTGGTGTTACTCCACTAAAGTTAACAAGGTCATTCCATCTTTTTCACCTGTTTTCTTTGGGCTTCCTTTTTCCTTGCCCTCCTCCAAACCTTGCTGTGCAGCTTTTGGGGATCCAGGCCCTGTGTTCCCTTTAGGGCTATTTCCACCTTGACTCAGTGCTCGAGGACTCTGAGGCAACATCGTTTCAGCAGCTGGTGGTTTTCCTGTCCCAAATCCAACGAAACCAGATAAAGATCACTCAATCAAAAGGGACAAACAGGAAAAGCATGTGTTAGCATTCCCTCTTCCACAACTGTCATGCCTGAACTGCACCAGAATACAGAGCTCTCCTCCCATCTGAGTTTCACTCACGTACTCCAGTCACTTAATTCACGAGTCGCACATCACCCACATCCTTTAGATCGTCTCTAAAGTCTATCAGGCCTGTGCCTGTACTCTAAGCGTCACAGTCTGCCACAATAAGAAAATTCAGCTGAGAAAGCCAAACTCAGTGATGCTTCACACGTTATTTTATACACCCACACCTAAAGGAGCCAACCAACTCAGCAGGTTGCACTTTGTTGAAAGAAATCCTTCTCCTGAGTAAAACATGCAAATTAATAAACTTCTAACTCAGGCTTGCAGACAGAAGCCACTCCTTTGACCTCCTTAAGTGTGGTTACTGAACAAGTGCCTCTCCTGTCCGACTCCAGCGCTGCACGCTCACCTGTAAGAGGTATTTGGTACACTGTCATCGTCTCGTCCTTGTACTCGGGCTCTGTATGCAACTGCACAGCTGGAAAGAGATCAGAAACTAGCATTAATGACTCCAGAGAGTCATACTCTGCAAGAACTTATATCAGGAAAATACCTTTCTTATTTCTCAAACAAACCCTGCTGAATGTCCCTCTTCCCTTTCTCTGCCCAACTGCAAAGAGCAATGAATAATTAAAGTTCTTAAAAGCTCATCATCCACAAAAAGTAGTCCATGATGCCATGGTAAGCAAGTTTACCGGAAGACTCTGGAAGCAAACTGCCTTCAGCGTGCTCTAAAGCTGAATGCTGTCTATTAGCCAGTCAGACTGGCAGCAGCCTACAAGAATCAGAGCTGGAAACACTATTTTATACCCAGGCAGTTCTTCTGCTGGATTTGAACAGTGTATCCAAGCAAAACAAACGTTTGAAACTTTTTTTGAACCATCTAAACCACAGGCACTTATTCCGAAGCTGTTACACAATGCAGCCATGGCTACAGCTGTAACAAAAGCAAGTTAAAAGTTCACATTCGCTACACATCACTGACCTACATACCTAAATCCATCCTCTTCAGGGGCCCAGGGAAGAGTCGAATCGCTTTCAAGTAGTTTTGCTGGAAAAAAGACAGCCTGTCAGAAGCCTGTGCCCAATAAGTACAATTACAAACACGGCTTTCAGGAGTTACAGTTACCTTCGGTGAAGCCAAAGGCTCAACGCCCAGTCCGGCAGCACACGGCCAGACAGAAAGCACTGGGTGAGTGTTCCACCTCCAGTGGGCATTACTCATTTAGAAAAAGAAGGGAAAATAATGAAGCACTCGCTCCAATCCCTTCCATCAACATAACTAGTCATCAGATATTGCAAGGAAATAAAGGACCGGAAATCTGAAGCCTAGACATTGCATCAGGCTGGCAAGGATGGCATTAAGCAGGAGATCGGAGACCAAGATTCTATTAACAAACGGGGAGGGAGCAGGCAGGAGAACAAAGGATGCCATTTTGCCAAAAATGTGATTTACTAGAATATTAGCTGACAAGACAGTTGTAAGCAGCAGAAGTGTGACGCTGTTCTGTGCGTAACTGATTTGCTTTTTAAAGCTGGCCCTGCCTGCAGAACCTTTGGGCTGGCACTAACTCAGACCAGCACTTCACACTTGTACGATGATTCACTCTTTTGACACCAGCTCCCCAGTCCCCAGGTAAGCTCTAACATCTGAAGGGTTCACTCTCCTGGCTCTGAGCTTCCTCTACTTACCAGCTTTGGTGGCCCTAAGAAAACACATCTTTGGAGCCCCATAGCCTTCAAGGTGAGAATCATACCTGAAAGAAAGCAGAGAAACAGCTTTATCACAGTCTCATAAGCTGCTGGTAGACCACGGAAAAAAAAGGTGCTTCTCAGGAGTGCTGGGCCTCTCTCTGAAGGCCGGAATTGAACTCAGATCCGCACTGAATTTTGTGTCAGTTTTAACAAGTCACTTATCTCCACAGATAAATAAAACACCTACAAATCTCAGTAGTCACAATTTGGAGCAAGTCACCTGAACAGATTGTTAATGTCCTTCTTTCTTGGAGATTTCCTAAATTTTGACACATGAGATCCTAATTGGCCTGTTCTAATCTCACCCTGCTTTGAGGATAACTGTGAGCCAGAAATCTTTGTAGGGCCCTTGGAACTCAAATTAGGCTGACTTACAAACAGCTCTGTGTTGGTAGCGTCATGCTGGTAATGCCTTCTACTTCAGATTTTTGGAAGACAGAGCCATGCAGGCTGGAGAGGCTGCACCTCTTTCACCACGTGTCTGCCTCCACTGTCGCAGAGAGCACGTTGCAGCTGGAAGCACTGCAGAGCCCCACCTGCAATCCAGCCGACATAGCTTCTCCTCCCTCCACCACCGAAAAAAAGACCCCACGCACCACCCACCAGGCAGCTCAAAAAGCCACCACCTCTAGCCTAGACCACTATGCCTGGTGGCTGGACCTTGGGAGAGGAATTAAAGGCCAGCATGGATAGGGCTCAGAGCAACCTGGCCCAGGTGTCCCTGCCTACAACAGGGTTGCTGGAACGAGATGATATTTAAGATCCCTTCCAACCCAAAACATTCTATGATTCTATGAAATCAGCTTTTGCAGCAGTATGCCAACAAGTGTAGTTGTACAGCTGCACTGTGCCCACCCACGTTGGCCCAGGCCACTCGGCTGAGGAAGATGCTGTCCAGGTGGGAGATCTTCAGCCTAAGGGGCAAGACGGGGATGGGTGGGAGCTGAGCAGAGGCCGAGGCAGTCCCGGCGTGGGTTGTGTTCCCCCCGGGTCGTTCCCACTTACTTGTGCTCCTGCATGGCGCGCTGCGTGCCCTCGCCGCA